CGATCAACTCCTCCAGACCTTCAACCACATCCCTCTTCCACATTGTTACAATCCCCCCAAAAGCACCCCACGATGGAGCCGCCACCCAGCTAATCCCCCTGGCTTTCCATACACTCCTTGCCCATTTGTCATTAAACTCCATTCTCTTCGACTCTTGCAACAGCACAATGTCAGACCCAGCATTACTTTACATAGCAGAATATTGGACAAGCAAGAAAAAAAAAAAAAACTCAAGAATGTGATTAGCCAAAAATGAAGATATATTGAGATACGTGATACACAAACAAAATTAAGACAATGAATTCAAGAGAGCATAGAACAGGCCCTAAAGATGACAAGATTATGAAATGTGAATTGAGATGGGTTAACTTATATATGATGAAGACTAAAACATTTCTCATGATGAGTATGTAAGTTCAAATTGGAAACAAAAGCTCTAAGATACAAGAATGATACATAAGCACACACACTCACATACATGCACAAACTCATATGGCAGGCATTGAGATACTGAGTAATGAAAAACACTTAAACCTATTAACAAAACACAAAGGCCTAAATGGGGAAAACACCCTGAATAATTAGGATAAGGCCTTGGAATTGCTATCCTAAAGTGATCGATATCATGGTGCTATTTTCATATCAACCTGCAGTCAAAAGCATTGGCCTTGATATCATGTCTGAGGAGATTCACAACATCATTATCAACGAAGCAAAAGACCTAGTTGTGTTATGGATATCAACTTCTTGTGATAAAACTGAAGGCATGGTATTAAGATTCCTACATAGATGTGATCATGAATTAATGTCACAGGAGAAAGAAGGAAAGAAAATATCATTATCAACCAATCAAAAGTCCCGGATGACTATCATATAGTTGCCATTATGGAACCAAAGGTATAATACTTAAAAAAGGCCACTACCCAATGTTGGTCCCATCTATCTAGGATCTTAGGAGTGGACCGGAAACAAATCTAAGCTTTGGAATTTTTAGTAGTCCTAATACTTATCCAAGAAAATTCATTTTAATGGTGTCAGGAGGCCAAAAACAAAAAAAAAAAAAAAAGGAAAGAAAGAAAAGCATAGGATACACTGTGCATGCGGTGCACATACTGATAGCATAGGTACCTCACTTCAATGAGAACACCAAAGAAATATCCAATGACAAAGCATCAATCCAAAGGCTTGATTTTTAACCATGGCAAAATTTAAAACAAGAGTTCAAAGAAAGTTAATTGGATTTAGTATCATTGAAAATGGTTAAATTTCAGAATAGGGTAAGGCATTTTCAAGGTGGAAACTACAAAATTTTGATTACCAAGCCCAACTAACAACTCTCCAGTAAAAAAAAATGTTAAATACTAATACATAAGTAGAAAAGTGAATTGCAGAACATAATTAAATCGGTAATCAAGTTCAACAAACCTGTCCATTCGTTGCTTTTTGTGAAATCAATTCCAACAATAAGATTTGATGATTCCAATCCTGATTCCCTCAAAGCAGATGAAACCTGTAGAACAAAAAGGCTACTTAAGACTTTAAAAAGTCTGTTTAAGCATGGAAAAGAGGGAGAACAGAATTGATGATATAGACAAATTGAAAAGGGGAAGGAGAAAAAACACAAAATAAAAGGCTACAGTCACAAACTATTTTCTTTAATAAAAATGTTATGATGTGTTACTAATTAAAAAAAAAAAACATAAACTTTTGGTGATGTGAATAGATTTATAGCACATTCAGCTCAAGGTCCATGGTAGCAATTACACCTAATGCAAGGGGCAAGTATCCAGAATTTTAAGAAATCATTCATTGTTTTACTTTGTGTAGTATTATTGTCACCTATTTTAGGCAACCATGTTTTAAACCAGAGCCCATTGTATAATACCAGGTATACATAACCAGCTTGGTCAGTTACCTTCATGATTTTATTTCTACTAGAACAGAAACATCTCCACTAAAGCATTTTCACTGGGTTATCTTTCTGGGCTGTCAAACTGATTCTTTTGATTGGGTTTAACTTTGTCTGTAGGTGTTTCTATGTTTTCCTGGGATCAATTGGGTCCCTTCATATACTTCTATTGTCAATTTGTAAATATATTTCATTCTATTACCAACAAAAGCCAATTGTTTATTGGCAGTGGCAGTGACAGTGGCACTTAAAAATGAAAATTTGCTGCAATACCAAAAGCAATTACAATGTTTCAGTCAAATTTCAATATATTTTTGTTGTTTAAAGATAAATACACCATTGATGGTATTAACAATTGCAAAAGAAGTTAAAGAATTTTTATTGGTCTGGAAGCATTTCTACCAAAACCTTAAGACTTAGTTGTATGGATGTTCGGCTTTTTGATGGAGGCCCATCTCATCATCTAGGCGGCAACTCATGGGATAAGGGTCACATGCAGGATAAGGATAACTTCCAAGATCCAAAATTCAAGAACAATTCAAGATAATTCCAAGAAGGCAGGATAATCCATGCATGGGTCGATCCAGGGAGATCGATCGGTGGAGATCGAAGCAACCTCTAAGAAGACTTCGATCCTAGCTAGAAGATTAGTTGTTTAGAGCATCTACAATTTTCTTTCCTAGTTTCTCTACAAATTTCCAGATGTATTATAAATACAGTTATTTCCAAGCTAATAGACATTCAAGTTTTTCTCGCCACCTTTTCTCTCTCCTCTAGAGATTCGCGTATAGATCTCTTCGGCTTCACCACGAAGCCTTGCGTTCGCCCGGTGCTTGCATCGTCAGCCCGGTTTATTGCTTCTACGCTGCGTCAGGTGGTATCAGAGCAGGGAGTTCGCCTAGTCAGATGGCCAACCCAGACGGTAGCAGTCGCAACCCACCCCGTGACGGAGATCAGGGGTTACAAGCTGTTTGGAGAGCAATCGAAGAGCAGCGCACGGCCACACGTAACATCGAGCAATAGTTGGCAGAGATCGCTGGACAACTGCGGACCTTGTTACGGGAGGACGTTCCCAGGAACTGGGAGAACCCATACCCAATCGAAGGAGGCGATCACGTCAATCCTGCACCCCGGCATCCTGTTCTTGATGATGATAGTGACGACGAGTTAGACTTCAGCGTCGCTCCAGTCATCCAGGCGACGGCAGGAACGGTAGAAATTGGCGGAACCCAGGTAATTTCAACCCTCGTCGGAATAATGATGAATTCAAACTCAAAGTAGATATTCCTACTTTTAGTGGAGATCTGGATACTTCTAGATTGGATCATAGAGGTCGACCGTTTCTTTGAATACATGGAGATCCCGGAAGAACGAAGAGTGAAATTGGTAGCCTTTCAACTGAAGGGAGGCGCATCTGTCTGGTGGGAACGGATGAGAGAGACCCGGATCAGAGAAGGAAGAGGTCCTGTTTGAACCTGGAGGCGCATGAAACAGCTTATAAGAGGTAGATTTTTACCCCCAGATTATGAGCAATATATGTTTGAATCATATCAACGATGTGCGCAGGGTTCAAGAAGTGTCAATGAATATACATCTGAATTTCTAAGATTGGCTGAACGAAATCAGCTATCCGAAAGTGATAACCAGCAGGCAGCCCGTTATCTGAGCGGTTTGAGACCGGCTATCAGAGACAAAATTGGCATCCAGATGGTTCTTAGTGTACAGGAAGCAAGAAACCTAGCCTTGAAGGCTGAATTAATGTTCCAAGAAAAGACCCGAGGTGAGAATTACCGCTGGTACAGTGGGAGCGACAACAGACCGGCAACAGTCGACAGGAACAAAACAGTCCCCGAAGTACAGCCTTCTCACCCGGCGAGTACAGCTAACGCCAGTAAGGCCATCATAGGAGGAAATACTCGAGGTAACCCTTCCAACCTTCCTAAACCCAGTAATCCCTATGCAAAACCTACTCCTTTTAAATGCTTTAAGTGCAATAAAGTTGGGCATAGGTCCAGTGACTGTCCCAGACGGAAGGCAGTTAACATGGTAGAAAGGGGGGAGGAAGAAGATGTTGAGGAAGAAGTATATTGTGGACCTGATGGAGAAGACGAAGAAGGTCCCTATGAGCATGAAGCAAAGATACCACTCAACGACATCAACTATTTCGCACTAGATGTACTGTACAGGGTAAATTATTTGATTTAATTATTGATAGTGGCAGTCAGGAAAATATTATTTGCAGGGATATCATACAGAAATTGCAACTACTTCCTGAAAAACATCCAAACCCATACACAATTGGGTGGATCAAGGAAGTCGGCGGCGTACGAGTRGAGGAACGCTGCAAGGTCCCATTCTCCATTGGTAAGTACTCTGATGAAGTATATTGTGATATTGTAGATATGGATGCTTGCCATATTTTGTTAGGGAGGCCTTGGCAATTTGATACAGATGCAAAACACATGGGTAGGAAGAATACCTACCAACTCGAGAAAGAGGGTGTACGTTACACCTTATTACCTATGGCAGAAAGGAGTACCCCAAAGGCCCCAAAAACATATGAGAAAAATTTCCTTACCATTACACATCAACATGCTGAATTTGTAAGAGAATGTAAGGATACCTGTGAGGTCCACTTGTTGGTAGTGAAGGGAGAAAGTGAGAATGAGGCACTGGAGGGAATAAAATTCCAGTGGAAGTGCAGGGATTACTTGATGAGTTCCATGATGTAGTCCCAGAGGAGTTACCTAAAGGACTCCCACCCATGCGAGATATACAACACCATATTGATTTTGTTCCTGGTGCTAGCCTACCTAATCTACCACATTACAGGATGAGTCCTAAAGAAAATGAAATATTACAGGAAAAGGTAGAAGAATTGTTGAAAAAGGGGCATATTCAAGTCAGTATGAATCCTTGCGCAGTACCAGCATTGTTAACACCAAAAAAGGATGGAAGTTGGAGGATGTGTGTCGACAGCAGGGCTATTAATAAAATCACTATTGGCTACAAATTCCCCATTCCCAGGCTGAACGACATGCTAGATCAGCTTGATGGAGCTATAGTTTTTTCAAAAATTGATCTCAGAGTGGGTACCATCAGATCAGAATCCGTCCCGGAGACGAATGGAAGACAGCCTTCAAAAACCAGAGATGGACTGTTCGAATGGTTAGTCATGCCCTTTGGACTAACCAACGCCCCCAGCACCTTCATGAGGCTAATGAATTAGGTACTACGTCCTTTTATTGGGAAATTTGTTGTGGTATATTTTGATGACATTTTGATTTACAGCAAATCCATCACTGAACACATGGGTCATATCAGGGAGGTATTAAAAGTATTAAGGGAAAACAAATTATATGCTAATTTAAAGAAGTGCACTTTCATGAGCGATAATTTGTTGTTCCTGAGATTCATTATAAGCAATGATGGAATTAAGGTGGAGGAAGAGAAAGTGAAAGCCATTAGGGAGTGGTCGACCCCATCAAACGTCACGGATGTAAGRCGTTTCCATGGGTTAGCAACTTTCTATAAGCGATTTATCAAACACTTTAGTAGTATTGTAGCCCCCATCACTGAGTGTTTGAAAATGGGGAAGTTTTAGTGGGGAGAAGAACAAGAGCAGAGTTTTGCCCTCATAAAAGAAAAATTATGTACTACTCCTGTCCTTGCCTTACCAAGCTTTGATAAACTATTTGAAGTAGAATGTGATGCCCGTGGAGTTGGCATAGGGGCTGTTTTGTCCCAAGAGAAGAGACCCATTGCCTTTTTTAGTGAAAAGTTATATGAAGCCAAGAAGAAGTGGTCCACCTATAATAAGGAATTCTATGTTGTAGTTAGAGCCTTGAAAACATGGGAACATTATTTAATTGCAAAAGAATTTGTTCTTTACACCAACCACCAAGCGCTTAAGTATCTCAGTAAGCAAAAACAGTTGAGAAGTGATCTGCATGCAAGATGGTCTGCTTTCCTGGACAAATTTCCATACAAAATTATGTACAAGGCTGGGCAGCAAAATACAGTAGCCGATGCTCTTAGTAGACGTGTCGCCTTCATCAAGACTCTCAGTGTTGAAATTGTGGGCTTTGAGTGCTTGAAAGACCTCTACGCCCAAGATGAGGACTTCTAACAGGCGTGGGAAAAATGCATAAATCGACAGCCAACAGGTGATTTTTACCTTCATGATGGGTTCCTTATGAAAGGGGAACAACTGTGCATCCCTTGCACCTCCCTCCGCGAAAAGATCATCAGAGATCTGCATGGGGGAGGATTGGCAGGCCACCTTGGAAGAGACAAAACAATTGAAGCAGTCAAGGGGCGTTACTATTGGCCGAAATTAAGAAGGGATGTGACTACTATTGTGAATAGATGCTAAATCTGTCAGACAGCCAAGGGACAGACCCAAAATACTGGCCTCTACATGCCTCTACCTGTTCCAATTGCGATTTGGGAAGACTTGTCCATGGATTTCGTGCTAGGTTTGCCCAAAACTCCCAGAAATATGGACTCTGTCTTCGTAGTGGTTGACCGGTTCTCAAAGATGGCTCATTTCCTTCCATGCAAGAAGACAACAGATGCAACGGCAACAGCCAAGTTATTTT